GAAGAAGACGCGACAACTGGAACAAGATTTTTGTTTTCCTGACGTTTCGGATTCTGCCGAGAATTTCTAATCGTAGGTAATCGTAGGATAGTCTGAGACATACGCAGATATGGGTAATACATGCACAGATTTCACGGTATTTATAGTGCCAAGGGGTCATCCGCATGCTAACTATAATTATCAGCTCCTGTGGCCTCCACTTGGGGTCTAAATTGGTGCGGTCATGGCTTGATACTTCGCCTTCGACTCATTTATTGCCGCGATTTCCTTGTTCGTGTCGGATGTGGGTTTTATAATTGCGCGACAATTATGCTCGCTGTCGTCAGAGTTGTTGCTGAGCCTGGCCCTTCCCATATGACCCCAAGCAGAGGCCACAGGAGCTGTTAATTATAGTACGCATGCGGATGATCTCTACGAACTATAAGTACCGTGAAATCTGTGTATGTATCACCCATATCTGTGCAGGTCTCAGAGTATCGTACGATTACCTATGACTAGGAATTCTCGACAGAATCCGGAACTTCAGGAAAATAAAAAGTCTTGTTCCAGTGGTCGCATCTTCTTCTAAATCGCTACCTGGGACTCGCATATTCACTTCTGTTTGCAAGAGCATGTTTATCGTTCGTTTACCTGCATAAAATTAAGAAAGTAGGAGTTAATAAACCCGTCACTGCAACGAGGCAATAGCTTGATACCAAAGCATTTTAACCGGTCTATTCTAGATCCGGAAAAGATGCAGTGCAGGAGGATTCATTACTTACACTTGTTGGTAGTTCAAACTGGCTCTGTACGATTTCAGCCAGAGGCATCAAATGCTGATCAGAATTCTTTTGGCAGATAGCTGGAGATAAACTTCCACGAATTGGTTCCTTGGTGCCCGTCTCGAAAAAGTTTGTGACCGCGTCCTCGTTGAAAAGCCATACCTAAAGCACAAGGTTTTGTCTTAAAGATAGCCTTTCACTAAGTTATGATTAAGCTGCATCAAGGCTATTGACTTACATCAGAACCTCATCTATGTTCTTACCAGTTTGGAATTAAAAAAAACTAACCTGAAGGATGGAATCTTCCCTCCGCCAAGAAGATGTGATTATGTGATTTGCTTCTGGTTCGATGTCAAGTGCATCACTCCCACATACGTGCGGGCCAAAGTACTGCCTAAATAGAAAATAATGATAATTACCAATTTGCTGATAAAGACACTTTAAGAGATTTGTTTTCTTTAAAACAAGCTCCTACTAGGCTGTCGACAAAAACAACCTATAGTACTGGCGAAGTTTAGGGATCTAGTTTCAGAAGTTCCGGTTTTGTTCGTATCTAGCAGCTGCATTTTTTGAAAAGTCGGCGAACTATTTCATCTTTATTGTTCAGAAGAATGACGAAGATTACTCATGAACTCCAAGTATTATTAGTTTATTTTAAAAAAGGCCTCTTAGTAAATTTGACCCCAAGCCAGGTGCAGATTTGGCAACCACGTGGTAGTACAAAAGTTGATGCACAATGGGCCTTTAAGAGCGGTTCTATGCGGTCTCCTGATTTTTGCACTTCCTCTCAGGAAATGTCCAATTACCCAGAAACACCTAAGAGAAATTGGGCAAAACTGTCTTGTAGGACCGCCTAAATATCTATTCCCACCGCCCAACTGTATTACTTAATTGGTGGTAAAACATTTAATTCTTCACTAACGAGTGTAAATGAATATTTAATGGTGTCGAAAGTGATGAAAGAATACTAAATTAAAGCCGCTTATAGTTGTTTTAATGGGCTAAATATAATCGACTCAGTCAACATAAACTCCTGTCGCTCAGGCAACTGATGCCTATTGATAGAAATTCGACCTTATGGTGGCGGACTTGAAGGAACCAAAGGGAAATTCGACCTTATATTGGCGGAATTTAACGAAAAAGAGGAAAGACAAACTACTGAAATTACAAAAGTAGGTAATTATTATAACTCAGATGACAATGGGACCTCTAAAGACAGTCCTACTGAAAATTATTGTTCTAGAGGTCGTTTTGCTCTCCGAATTTAGCAATTACATTCATTCAACTTGATGCATTTTTTATAAAGCAAATCGGTCGCCAATGCCTGATCCAGCTTCCAGTTTTATTCCTATCTGACCTAGACAGGGTATGACTAGGAGCATCTAAGGCAGCTGTCATTCCTTGATAGAGGTTCACCCGACCACTAACGGGACTCATCTGTTCCGCACCGCCTGGGGTCTCGACAGAGGCCCTGACAGCCGTAGGATCTGGAAGTAGGCAAATT